AATAATCCAATAAGGTGGTCAAGACCGATAAAACCGGTAACTTGATGCGAACCTACGGTGAAGACCATTTTTTTCTATTAGTTAGGCACACCTCACTAAGGTTACTCAGCACTATAAATATGCCGGCCTTCCACGTAGGTGTATCGTAGTCTTTTCGGTCCTCACCATTTTCTCATCATACCTACAGTTATCGTAGTTGGACCGGTAACCGTAGCTACAGTTATCGTAGTGGGATTGGTAATCGTAGGTACGGTTATCGTCACCGTTGCACCCTAACCCACACCCACACCCGCACCCTCGAGTTCATATCCGTAATAGGAATGATTAAACTGTCTATGCGAGTGTTGTCTTATTTCAAAGTGGTGGTGGAAAAAGAGAAAACAATTCTTGTTTTTCTTTAATATTGATCATGAATGAACCATCACCTAAATCTAATTTGCTGAGTATTTCGAAATGAAAGCCAGGCATCAATACGATTTCTTTTTCTTTTCGAAACATGGAATACTTGTCAATACATTTACCATGTTTACATTCGATCATGAATAGTGTACGCAATCGCTGCTTATTTTCTGTGTTCTCTGACTTAAAAATGTTTGTATCAGTCGTCGTAGATGTAATACCCCACCATATACCAGTCTGACCTTGTTGATAATGATTACTAATATCCTCGCTGACATTTCGCCAGACTAAACCTTCAAATGATGGTAGTTTGTATAATGCAGTCAAAAATAGTTTCAAATATGGCAGCCATAGTTTCAGCTTATTTGGATCTTCCGAACGCAAAGCTTCGTTTAGAACACGATAGAGACATGTCTCATCAGGTACCCATTCCATTGTGAAGATAAGAATTGCTGCAAATTCGTCTTGTGTCATGTCATCACCATAATCATGAAAATTATATTTTGCTATTTGTACGTATCTTAGTATATCAGGCATTATTCCTACCAGTGGATGTAGTGCTTCTTCCAGAGACACTAAAGGCTGATCTTGATAACCATCGAGTGGCGTAATCATGGGTAGTCAAATACAATTAACAAATCTTTAAATTAATAAAGCAACATAATACAGGTAGTTCAATCGTGTTTTTATTCTGTAAAACTAATATAAATAAACATTTATACATTTAGAAGAACAATCTTATAATAATTTCATTTAAGTTAACATATAGAGCAATATGATTTCTCTATATTTCGTCGTTTAGGAATCAAAGAAATATTTTAGTTTTCAATCTGAAAGTTTTTTATTGATTCGGATAGGACTAATACAACGGTCATGTTTTCCTTTGAAAATTTGGTTCAATAATAAAAAACATAATCAGAGTTTTCCGGTCTGCATTCTTGTATTTGGGTTTGGGAGCGTGTGAGTGAAAACAAGATGAACATTTACTCACACTTGCACACTCGTTTGTATATATAGTGATATGTTTATCAAAGATTTCTCTTATTCTAGGCTTGAGAAAGAGCTACCATTCTCTTCGAAAGTCTTAGTTTAAATGAAATTTTAGCTATTCGTGCTCATCGACATAGTTTCATCAAAAGAAGAGTAAACTAGCCATTACATAAAATCTTCAAGCCAAATGGATAGATCAAAATACATTTAAAACGTTACAGAAGACCGACATATTCGACTGGGAGATGAAATATACATTTTCTATTCATTTTAAAAGTAATGAGGACCGACTACAGATGATAATTTCATAACCTAAAGTTATCATCCATTTCGTATTTAAAATTGTGTTAACATGAGAAACTACTTCGACTCTTTATAGAAGCCGTATCAGAAAAGTCTTAATATTTTTTAATTAATGTTTGACAAAATTTCAATGCAAATATGATGTTTTTGATCAACACGATGAGTTCTATTCAACCAGATACAAAGGTTTCAAGTTAAAAATAAAAACAACTATTTTCTCAATCGTCAGGAGTTCTTTAGTCTCAAAATATTGAAAAAACAGTAGTCTTATTTCCTGGCAACGGTTATTGTATATTATTTTTTTGAAATAAAAAATGACTAAATGACAAGTTCTTTTTTACAATATAAAGTTCATCAACTATATACAATTGTGTAACAGCCCATAGATGCATCGCATTATTTACTGCAGCTACCTGGTAATAGTACTTTTGATAATCTGAGCTAGATGGGAGTATTCGTCTCGTAATGGAAACATTTTCTGATCGGTTTCAAATGTTGCTGATCATATTACATAAATTTTTTTTATTTTCTTTGCGTAATCAACGAAGTATTTAATTTTCTTTTAAAAAGTTGGCTCCTTAAGTGCGTGTTTTCATGGAAAGTGGCTTAAAAACTAACTCAAATACCCTCAACAATAAGCTTGAGTTCGGATTTGAACTTGCCTGTTTATATTCTGATTTGTTCTATGCCATCTTGTATCTCATATAGAATATAGAACATCAATGGAATAGTGGGGCCTAATAAAAATATACATATTGTCTAATATGTTATGATGGGTTTCTTTTGTTGCTGTTAGTTGTATTGGAAAATTGAAAATAAATATTGAATATTTTAAGATGCAAGAAAAAATTCCATTAAAATATTGCAAAAATACTCCTCAATTACAGAAAGGACGCAAAAACTATAAACATGTCCTCCAAAATAGCGTGCGCTATCGAAAAAAACACCACTATGGATGTTAGCAACTGCTGTTGCCGACAGCATCTTAAATAAGAAAGTAAATAGAAATTTCTTTATACGCCTAACTATCGTCTTTGTTTGGCGACAGAACACTCCCTATTCGCTATACTCTCATGAAAAATAACTGAAAAAGTGTGCTTGCAGTACGAAACAAAAAAGAAAAACATTGTTCTCTTCACTCGCTCTGTATGAAATGAGAAGAAAAAAAAATTCAAAAATTCTCTCACCAATCAAAATCATTGCAATTTGGTTAGAGAAGTTCTTCTTCTCCCTGTAACATTAATAAGAAAGAATTAATTTTCAGCTATAATTTCATCTGAATCCACTGAATTGACTATAAGATCTTATTTTGTCTTTTAGAATTGGATTTTTAGTGGCGCAGTTGTCATTAAGAGTGTGATACCTTGTACCCTAACATGTTTTTTTTTCATAAGCCAGCTGAAAGTGATCGATTGATTTCTTTGTTAACGAAGAGCAACAACATCATCCAAGATTGTTTACAGAAAATTTCTTCCTTTTTTTTATTGGCAGTTCGATAATAGAAGAGAACTCCATAGTGATGTATTAAATATAAATTTTGCAATGAATTCATGTAAGATTCAGTCAGTCAAGAGCATTCAGAGCACATGTGATGCAATTGATCTTCAAGCTCCACTAAAAACACCGCAGAAGCAACAAGAGCGATCAATTCGAATGTATGCCTGATTTTTTTCTCTGTTAATCTGTTGTCCGATTCAGATGAAATAAGTATTTTAAAAAAATAACTATATGCATCATTATTTTTGTCCAGAGAGGCAAAGTCTTTTGAGAATTTTTAGTCTGCATGCAATCGTGAATCGTATTTGTTGAGAAAGAATCGAATTTAACAAAGACATAACATAAAATAAAACAGGTAGAAAATAGAGGAGTAAGTCTTGTATTGAAATTCATACATTCGGCTAAAAATTGTATAGTACCCACCTAAAAATACGAGTCATCTAAAAATCTACACTAAGATATTTCTATTTGAACCTTAAGCATGGGTAGTGACCAGCTATAATATATAAGTAAATGAACGACTTAATATTGTTATATAAAACTTTTTATTTTAACAGCAGCGAAAATGTTTTGTAATTGACAATATCAGCCACGAAAGACTATTGAAAATGACACACTTCACTTTTGCGAGTTGTTTTCGATCTATCTCGTATAGATGGAAGATAAAAAGAAAAGAATGTATTATGATATCATCGTATAGTAAAAAACAATAGTTCGCTAATTGCAAACAGCCTATATGTATATTATACGAAGAACGAAAAACATTCAAAGGTCGTGGTGTATATATTACTATGTAATAGTGCCAATGTAATTGTACAATATCAGTTAGTTCCATCATAAAGATAGTCTATACAGAATTTACTGTTGCAGTTTTTCTGCAAAAGTAAATTCTGTCGTTTTCGATAGTCTTTATTGGCTGATATTGTCAATTACAAAACATTTTCGCTGCTGTTAAAATAAAACGTTTTATATTACAATATTAAGTCGTTCATTTACCTATATATTTCATTTGACAATATATTATTGCGATCTCGAAACATTTCAATTTTTACGGGATTACTATAGTTAAATACCCCTCTTTGGATTTATTTTTCGCTTCTTTTCTTGTAACATGCATATCTCATCAAGGAAGATGTGTACGTGGATCTTGTTTTTATTCACAACCACCCACATTCACACTCGCATTCTTCAAAGAATAAGTACGGACCGTACACTTTTCTAATCAAAAAGTATAGCAAGATTTCGACATTTGTTATTAGATTATATTTTTTATCGTAGTGACCTTGAAAACTAATTTGAGATATTCCAATTGCATTGACAATGGCTGAAGGAGGTGGTAGTTCACGTCGAGATGGAAAACGTTACACAGACCTTAGTAATGAACCAGATAAACCGTTACCACCGCTTCAAAAGTTCACAAATCAACCAGTTCCGCAACTTCAAGATGCTGTCAAGTCTATTCACAAGTTTGTAAACGATCTAGAGGAATATATTACTTTATCACTCAATAAGTGTAAATATCCAGAGGACGGCCTAACCCAAAATGAATCAGCTGCTCTCTATCTATACTCACTACAATGGCCCGAAGGACAACACAGCTTTTACACCATGTTCAATCGGGCACTACGCCATGAAAACCGAAACCAGCTGGTGCCATATCACAGTTATCTACATTTATTCATGAGCGCACTTCAAAAACTTCCATCCGTTCAAGATCGCGTATGGCGTGGTATTAATGGTAATATTGTTGGGCAATACAAAGCTAATTCGGTGCACGTTTGGTGGGGTGCAAGTTCCTGCTCCGATCAAGTTCATGTAACAGAAACTTTTCTTGACAAGAAAAGCGATCGAACATTGTTCAGTATAAAATGCTATGAAGGTAAAATAATCAAAAATCACTCAGCATTTCCAAATGAAAGCGAAATCGTCCTGCCTCCTGGTACCTGTCTTCGAGTTAAATCTCTGTCGAATATAGCAGCTAAAGTTCATATTATTGATATGGAACAGATACCCTATGAAGAACCTTCGCCAGAGATTGCTCCTACATCATCTGCTTCTACCGATGAACATCATGTCTATCTCATTTGGCTCGATGGTTTCGTGAATAAGTCGAAAGATAATATTGAAACTCAAGAACAACTTCGACAGTTAAATAACAACTTCAAATCATTTGAAAAGCCTGATAGATGTGAAAGTTTCATTAATCAGAGTACGAATCACTCTCGTATTATAATAATTGTTGGCGGGCAGATTGGTCGACAATTTGTTCCAAAAGTTCATGATTATGCTCATTTGAAAACTATCTTCGTTTTCTGCATGAATAAAGTGGAGAATGAAAAGTGGGTCAAAAATCATGATAAAGTAACAAGTTTATTTTTCTCTGCTACTGAACTTTTTTAAAAATACGTCATCTTTTAGATAAAAGCTGTCGTTGTCCGTCAAAAAGAGCTCCTAAAACAAGTGAAAGAAGAAATTGTTGTTCAAGTGCAGCACGAGAAACTCGAGAAGGAAAAAGCTGCTCAGACACAACAGCTGGAAACAACGATAAATGCTCAATGTGAGGACTCGTAAGTAAATGTTCCGCGAAAATTTTTGTTGATGGTAGTTATGCCTGATGATGATAATTATTCAAAAGCCATTTTTCTGATTGCAAAGGTATCAGACAGTTGGTTGCAGCATTTCCTACTATTTTCATCAGATATAAGTGTCACTGACGCAACTTTTCATGAGCATCACAAATCATATTTAGAGTTTTGAATAGTAGCAAAATTTTTTATCGAACAGTGAATTTTACTCAGAATTCGATCGTATGATGTTTCTTCAGCATAAATGTCTTTTCTCATCTGACAGCCGTGAGAAATCGAATCGATTCTTTCCCCCAAAATCTAGCAGTACAAGCAAAATTAAATACTGTATTATTTTCAAGTGAATTGAGTTCCACATGGTGTCCATACATTAGCGGAACATCATGAATCCCGAATGCCATGAGTACTTGATTTTTATTATGGTTCTATTTGAACGTTAAATGAGGGTAACAAAAAAAGCTGTTCATCACGTTTTAATTAACTTTTCCAAATATCAACCAGAATTTCGAAAGTTTTATAATATTGAACAATGGTGTTTTGCTGTACATATGTTATAATTTTCAGAAGTTTTTATAGTTTTCACCTGTTCAAGTGAGGCCATATAGAAGTTTGATCCTGACAGCAAGTATAGCGATTTTTTTCTAGTCTTTCAAATTATTGTCTATCCCATGACAAAACAAGTCAGAAATAGGAAAACTTCCCAAAATTAGTTATAATATGTGTCTCGCATGTGTAATTATTGAAAATAAAAAGATCTTCAAAGCTTTGTATTTCATGATTTGGTTATTCTTTCAGAACTCGATGTAGATATTTTTCTCTTCGATTTAATATTTGAAAAGAGAAAATGAAAAATTGTCTCCTTTGCATCTGTGACTTTTTTTTACATCCAATCGTTTTGTTGGATTTTAAACTAATAAATAGTTTCATTACTAATTTTAGTCTCTTTTTTGTTGATGGATAGGCATTTTCTGGAATTAAACTCATTTGAAAATGATCGAGCAATTAGTTTTGCATTGATTGAGACACCTGTTATTGATAGAATGTCATGATTTCAGGAAGGTTTTCAGACGGAAAAAGGAAAAGTATCGTATGACATCATAGACTTCGCTTTCTATCAAAACACACTTTTCACCTTAATTCTTCGATTTCTCAATGTTCTAAACTAGTGTTTGTAATCAGTGTAACACTAGCATTGATTAAATTCATTTGGAAAAAATATTTAAAAAAATTCGAAAACTCCAGGACGTATAACAGAATTCGTAATCCTCGAACTGACATAGCGAAAATTTTCGTCACTAGAAATGCTTCAAGCAGTCATCCGAAACAGATGGAATTAGATAAACTCAAAAAGATCGTTTGAGAAAAATTGCCTTATGGAGATATATCCATCTTATGGGTCACTTCTCATTTAAATGTAAAAAGATTAGGAATATCTTAGCAGCAAATCGTTGTTTGATATCAGAGTGCTTTGTTTATATAAGAATGTTGACTGTCAATGTACAATACTAGCATAAAATAAACCGAATGAGAACAGAACCTCTTGACATTCATGAAGGTCATTTGATGCCTTTTACTCTTTCCTTCAATAGAAGACGTTTCTGTTCTGCAGAAGTCAAGCGCAATGATAAGCTGTACCATTTTCAGCCCACAGTCCAGTGAATAACAGATGGAAAATCTTTCGTGTTTTGGTTAATGTCTAGACCAAAATTTAATAATTATAGATATTTTCTGTATAGCTCAGTGGTAACAACAGAAAGAATAAAAACTCGAATGCAATTGTCTGTGTTACTAAATAAGATGAAGTGTTGCGGCGGATATGTTGAATAAATGCTCTCCTTTTGAAAATCATAAACAACACCAATCAGATTTTATACCTTTTCTCTACTCTTTAAAGAGACAGAGGTGCTCTTGTGCAGCATAGATAGCTCTTAACATGCTCTAAGAAATTTCAAAGTCGTGGAAGTTTAAAATGCTTCAGCAATATTCCTTAGGAGAACCAAAATGGTATGTCTATAACTAACATAAAGGATTCCAGAAAGTAAAACCCTGTGGTTGTAATGGTGGTTATGGATGTAGGCATGCAGGTCGTTGTGAATTTCTCCATCCCACTATGATTGTCTCTAGACTCATTTCACATCTGCAACATTGCTCTAAAATTCTGCTGACTTTCACCAAATTCTCAGAATATTTTTAAAAAACTCCTGAAAACGAATTAATAGTTTTCATGTATTTGTTGTATACTTTGCGAAAATGCTTGAGCTCAGAATAATTTTGTTTAAATTAAAATCAAAGAAAAAGACGTCCGATGTTTTGTTTGTATGAGTGCCGAAAACTACAAGTGGATTGCTATCAATGTTGTGCAGCTGAATTCAAACACATTTTTCTTTAATTTTGGGTGGACATTAGTATACTTTCAGAATTTTGCCTCTCATGCCATTGTCAGATGTTAGATACTAGACAGCTGCTAACAATTAAATTTAAGATGGTGGACTTCTAGAATTTACGCAATGTATCTTTTGAGGGTATAGGCTTCCTATAAGAATTTGCATATGGTAATTTTAATCCTGCGTCTAGTGTATCATACGAGTATAATATCTGAGCATCATCAGACATTATTCACAAAGTTATTGGATAGTTTTAGTAAATTCCTATTGGAATTTGTTTGAATCAATTGCTACGAAAAACAAAAAGTTCCATCATTGAAAAGCTTGCAACAAAAATGACGTTGACGTTTTGAGCCCTTCTTTTTCAAATGAAACAATATAAAACTAAAGTTCGTAATTTGTTGTTGAGAATGGCACTTTTTTTTCAAAAGATTATCATTATTCATGATTATTAGTTGCTTTATGATCTCAAACTATACTTTTAGTCGTGTCTCTGATGAATCTGTGGCACCAAAAAGGATGATGGGTCCACTAGAAGGCTATCAGAACATGCGATTAATGTCTCTAGAAGAAGCTGTCGAATCGTTGATACACTATATCGACGAACTAGAAGAGCATGTGAAAATGGCGAAATACTATTGTAAACATCCTGATGATCGTTTAACACGGGATGAATCTGCCTCCATTTTTCTCTATACAATGGAATGGGAGTCTTCTGGCAACAGTTTCTATCACATTCTGAACTCATATCTACGCTTAGAAGATCGAAAGAAGCTAAAACCGTGGTTTTATTATTTAAAGCTACTTTTGACTGCATTATACAAATTACCATCATATCAAGGAACTGTGTGGCGTAGTGTCCGGGGCGATTTGCATGCCACATATCCGAAGGGCAGCGAGTGTACATGGTGGAGTTTCTCATCGGCTGTTGTTTCTCCGTTGGATTTACAATTATCAGGATATTCGGGTAAACATGGTATACAAACTATGTTCTCAATTCAATGCACAAATGCTAAACGCATTAAAAACTATTCATTTTTTGAATCAGAAGACGAAATTCTGTTGTTGCCTGGCTTTCATTTTGAAGTACTCGACCAACTTGACTCAGAGAATGGTTTATGTACCATCAGTGTCAGAGAGAAAGAACCGCCGTTTCCACTAGTTCCACCACCATTTTGACACAAACATACAATTCACTATTATTTGATAAAGTCAATGATCGTAATGAGATCTAGCCGTGCATGACCACAATGCGAACATACTGAATCAATTTTACACATACTTTTTTGGACATTCATAATTCTTTGAGAAGAAACTATTGAGAAGCCCTCTTGTGTGCACTATTTGTTTTCTAAGAACATTGCTTTAAATGACTGGATAAGCAGCAACCACAGTAATTTATAAAATACCTGGCCACTAAAATCTCATCAATTCACTCTTTCATCTTACTCTTTCTCAAGAAACTAATACATTATCGAGTAACTCATGAAAAATTCTAGATGACTCTTATTTAAAAATTTTAGTCTTTTGGTATTCACAGAAGTTAGAGACAAAGATTTTTCTTTCCATGAACTTAGAGAGGGTGGGTTTGGGTTATAGGTATAGATGGTATTGGTCTGATGTCGGTGTGTGAGTGTGGGTTTGGATGTGATCAAAGAGGCTCCGCATTCATTACCTTGAAATAGTACGTTTAGGTTCTACTCAGTTCCCATGTTTACGACCGAGTTCGATGATTCTTTCAATATCTTTCCGATCATTTCCAGTGGAATGCGATTGTTCTTAGAGCTCGGAATAATTGACGTAGATGTGGGTGTGAGTGTGTGTCAAGCAAACCATGATCCAGATTTCGACCTTGCTTAAGGTTCTCATCAGATGGTTTTGACTCTGCATAATAGTAATAATAATAATAATAATAATACTAATACTAACTTTACTTGTTCAAATGATCTCAAAAAGAAATCACAAACAAATCACAATCATTACTATTATTACTACTATTATATAATCTATACAGTATTCGATTAGGTATCTTAAAGACTCTAATCAGAATCGATAGATATCTTTATAGCAGTGGTGTGTCAAGCAAACCATGATCCAAATTTCGACCTTGCTTAAGGATCTCATCAGATGGTTTTGACTCTGCATAATAATGTTTGCAATGGAGCCAATGCGAATGCTTCTGATAATTTATTGCTGGTTAACTTCGTGTTGGGAGTAGTGTTTTTTCATGATCTTTGTCAAGTTGTCAGGGGAGTGAAGCTGGGAATGATTGGTATTCTTTTGAGGTGTTGTATGAGGATTTATGTGGAAGATGTTTAGGGTGTGGGTGTGGATCCAGTTCTCCACCTAAGCTACACTCCACACCCACACCCTTCTTTACTTCTTACAAAGATTAAAATTCAGTACAGTGAATAAATGGCAAATATTTACT